TGCAAATACTATGTTGAAATAATGTTTTCACTGAATACTGTTTACAATTAATGCGACCCGGGCACGCCAAGTTTTTTCTTCACTATAATCCAGTTGACAATTATAGTCACTTTCGGTCTGTCTTATGTGACTGGCGTAATGAAGAATACACTTGGTCAATTATATTTATCTCATATCTGTTTTTGATCAAGAAGTTCAGTATCTTTTATATGCACTTGGCGTATGTTTTTTTCTTTTTTTAAAAAAAGGTTGTAATAATCGCTTACTATTTTGTCATTTCTTGATAAATTGTTCGAAAAAATATCACGAAACTGATGCATCCCAAAACCAGTACACATAAAGTCCACAAACATAACACAAAATTGACATACATCAGAGGTATTACTTTGAAATTGTTGAGTGTTGTAAAATAAGGTTTTACAGTTTTTTCTATAGCAGGCGAGATGCTGTGGGATGATAGGTGGTAACCCGTAGCTGTCGAAATAGTGTCCGACGCCGTCCCGTCCGACGTACATAGCGACCCAATGTGTTCCAGGTTTTGTATGGTCGTCAGTATTAGCGATAATAGCAGCAGGTTTACTCCAAAACGTAGGTATCTCGTCCGCAGCATAAACGCCTATAGTATCGCAGGGTATGTTTTGTAAAGCAGCCCGTAATTGCAAACTATTCATAGCCACCAAGAATTTTCAAGAGAATTATTTTCTTCTTCTTCTTCTTCTTTTGTATTATGACTATTATCGCGGTTATACACGTCATAGAAAACGATGGAGATGGAGGCGACAACGGTGTTGACAAAGTTGCAGAATCCAGAAAGGCGTAATCTTTAATCCACTTTCTTATCCGCAATGCATTATTTAAAGCACATGTATATTCCCGATTATTTGTCTTGATTTTTATATTATGGATGAGACACGTTTGCTTTAATTGCGGTAATTGATGAAATGGTGGACATTTCTCTTCTTCTTCTAAATTTATAATGTTTCTACTTGTAATACGATGGAGAAAAGCTGATTTATCTCGGCCTCTTATGAATATTCGGTTCGTAAATTGTGCAATTGTCCTCAAATGTCGACATAAGTTTTTATATGGTGTATCTCCTTTAAACCATTCAATACCATGGAAATTTTTACTGAGCCAATTGTTTTGAGATTTTGAACGGGTTGATAGCTCGGTAAAGGAGTATGGTTGTGCAATAATCCAATGAGCGCAATGGTCGTTATTTATGGAGACAATAGCAACTTCTTTTGGAAAAAAATCTTCCTCCGTATTCTTGAATCCTTGTATATCAATAACGATATTCATATTTATAATTGTAAATGCGAGAAAGATATATATACTCGTATATATGAATAACTGGTAGTAATAGTGTAGTGTACACACTCAAGAACTAGTGCCGACTGATGATTGAAGTTATATGCTCATAACGTTTAAGCTTTTCGTTTCTATAATATCCGTTCCTATAATGCTTGTTCCCGAAGTTCTTTTTCCTATTATGCCTATATTAGTATCAAGTTTTATCTGCGTTGAATATTTGCATAGCCTACTACGAATTCTCTCTCTCTTTCGTTCTTAACCACCATAGTCTACAATCACCTGTCTTGATGCATCAATCTCCATAATATTGTCATATTCGGCATAAATAATACAATTTATCGTATTTTCTAATGCTTCTTCGAAACGAACTTCGATTCTAACATTACCATGCTTCATTAAATTCCAATGCGTAGTATCGTTTGCTGAAAGGTCCGGTGTAAGATCAAATGCAAAAAGACAATAACCGTTTGGATAATTCTTACGAGAAATAGCATTGCCCTCGTTTAAAAAATGAATTCCTGTTCCAGAAAAAAGAGTGTGATAGGCCTCCATATATAATTTCTCCTTTGTAAAATCGGGTTGTAACGGTTTGCTAGGTATTTGTGTACCATCCACGTACAGAGATAAAAAATTAATTTTGTAATGATGAAAATTAAAAGGATTCAGCATACGATTACCGTTAAATGCTCTATTATCAACAAAACCGATGATTAAACGTTTCGGTATTTGACCTAATATCACATTGTCGAGCGTTTCACCGTATATACCACTGTGTATAGATATAGATTTCACTTCGACACGTGTGAGGGGGTATTTTGCTGTGGTTTTCGCAAGAGCTTTGGCATGTGCTAACAACATACCAGGTGAAATTTTTGAACGTCTAACAAGAAGTGTAGCATCAATTATATGAACTTCGAAATTTCGTTCGGTTTGATCCATAAGGCAGAATGTATCTCTTGATCGCATTATTCGCAAACGCATTTCTACACCATTTATTAAAAATCTTTCTTAATTAAAAACATCACAGTGTAAATGCCCCATAAGATATCAATTTTCTTGCCATCGGCTGTCAATACGCGTCGTTTTACAAGGCCATCGTTTGCGTTGAGTAGATCGTCCATGGATCCGCTTTTATCTTCGTACCACAATACGCTTGTTAAATGAGAGTTTTTAGCAGCAGGACCATAATTAAGTAATGTCTCTATGTAAGCTCTATAAGCGTAAGCATTATTCGGTGGTGATATAAGTTTTTGATTGAAAAATACATCTACCTGATTGAATAATGAATGCATAAAATTATTCACAGGCCCGACATAATCAGTGGTATCTCCATCTTTTGAAGGCTCTTTATGAATCGTTGGCCTTATTTGGACACTGATGCTTAACATTGTATGCGGTAGATCGATGTATTCCTCTCCTAGTCCGGGTACTACAAATTCTATAGGTGAATCATCAGTTAACGATGATATTGGCTTGTAGTGTATCCATTGTGAACTTTCGATTGTGGCTTGCGTTGGTGGAACAGTGAATAATTCCAATTCCGATTTGAGACATTCGCATGAATGAGTGTGTAAAAAAGACATATTTGCTATTATTTTACGGCGAATATATTATTGAAAAATGTCAACAACAGTACGATTGTTTCGAGAATATCTCTTTTTCTTTTTATTTTTTAACGTATTTGTCTTAGATCGAATTGTCTTCTTCTTTTTCTTCTTCTTCCTCTTCTGTTCTTTCGCGATATGACCACTGTCACGGGTGTTAATTAAATGTTTTATTTTCGACTCTCTCATGGATTTATATCCTGATCCTTTCATAAGAATATCGATCTTTTCTTCGGCTTTCCGTTTTAAATTTGTAGCTGAATCTTTCATGCGAGTATTAAAAGCTTCTTTGAATGGAACATCTCTTTGTATTACATCGCGAGCTACGTTCATTCCAGAACGAACAACTTCTTTACCGATCGCCTTCGCACCTTTTGATAAAAGAGGTAAAACACGACGAAAGAGACCTCCAAGGAAACTACCAATTCCATGACCGCGTTGATTTGATGTACCAATGTACACATGTTCAATTCCGCTTTGCCGACCACCGCCGTATTGGATATCAAAATATTCATCATAGGCTGTCATTTCTTTTAATGTATTATTTAATCTAATCTTTTAAAGTGAAGCGTTACAGTCAATGTGCCATATTCGAATGGTATAGGTTGCCCAAATTCATCTCTTATATCGATCTCAATTGTTTGAAAAGACGTATGAAGTAGAGGTATATATTTAGCCGTTGAGAAACTTTTATGTTTGACTGAACCATAAACGTATGCTTCTATATCTAAAGGTACGGTACGGAGTAACGGTGTTTGCACATCACCTGTAATGTAAGGTTCACATATATCCGTGTATATGAACATTGAAGTAGGTAACGCTCTGATCAAGCTAGCTGGTCTAGATGATACCCAAGACATATCATTTAGCGATATATTATATTCCTTCGTATTATAGCCGAATATCCGTGCCAATGTTGGAGATAGAAGGAAAGTATGCTCGTTATTTACACAATGTACACATGAACGCTGTGCACTAACATAGCCATTTTTATTTACTGTAAAAGTTAAATGATCTTTCATCGATGTTTCATTAACTGTTTCGACAAGATCATCGATTGAACGGTACAATCCCCGTGGCATAATGTAGTGTTCAATTCTATTTTGATCTACATCATTTTTAAGAGCCTCAGATGTATTGAACAAATTTCTTCTTACTGTGGTTTTTTCATCTTTCGGGAAATGAAGAAATGTCATAGGTATTTGAATATCTGTTAGGGATACACCCCATTCGCCTTGTAAACGTAATTGATGCGGTAAGCGAGTAATAAAATGAGTCGTTGTATTATCCGGAAAATATGAGACACTGCTATTACTAGGCAGAACTATGTAAAAATTATTCCTCATTATAGATATTTATTTGTTTTTTATATCCTTAGGATTTATCCACGTATTAAAATTTTCTGGAAAACCATGCCAACTAACGAGAATACGTCTCGAACGACCTCGACCCTTACTTCGAATTATTTTCTCAACTGTAAGATTTGTCTTTGCATAATCTCGGTGGATTCTAGTTAATTCTTCTTCGTAAAAGAGCCCATCTATATCCTCGCCGTGAAGATCTCTTAAGAAGTAGACTGGTGGTTGTTGGTGTGTGGAAACGCGTATTATAAGAAATATCTCTTTACTCCAGCCACCTTCATAACCTTTCGCGAACGCTGCTTTGTAGCTACTGATTCGCACAAGGTCTCCAACCTTGTATTTAGGAACACGAGTACGTTTACTAGCATATCGGTGAGCGAGATTTGTTCTAACAATCCGAACATTATTCAATGTTACATTACGCGGGGCCATTTTAATAGCGGTGTGATACGAGCGATTGTACGCATCAACAATATTTTGTAGAATATGAATATATCGTTTATTTTTTGTATATGTAAAATATCTCCACATGCGCTCCTTCAGCGTTCTATTGAGACGTTCGACAACTGCTGCTTTCACATCCGGATTACGAGCTACACGAAAACCAATTTTTTCGTTCTTCAAGAAAAGTTGTGTAGCTGCGCCTGTAAATTCTTTACCACGGTCAGTCTGCAAAACAATAGGACGTCTTCCTTTACTGCGTGCCAGTATACGTGCTAATGCTAGTGCAACACTTGCGCTTGTTTTATCACGCAGTTTTTCAACCCAAGCAAATTTACTCAAAACGTCGATAATGACGAGTAAATACGCATAATTATCGTTATAATTTTTAATTGCGCGTAGATCCACGATATCTGCTTCCCATAAATCATCGATATTGTACAAATTGTAGAAACGACGTGGATATCGACGGCGTAAAGGCCTATGTAGCGTATATGTGTCTTGACTCTCCAACCATTTGATAGTTTTATTTCGGGAAACAGTTTTATTAGTTTCACGCAATAATTTTGGTGCTCCGGAAAAAGATGCTGGATGAGAAGGGTCGTAATAAATTGTTTCTAGTTTTTTCATTCTTACAATTTAGATGCCTTTCTTTTTTTATTCAAAAGAGATAAACTTTCCCAATTATTGGCGCTACAATAGTTCTCACTGACGTTATCGGTATTATCCGTCGGAACCTCGCTTGAGTCAGATGTTTGGCTCGCTGCTGTAACACCGCTTGACAATATGATATTCGGTACTCGTAGTGTGCTAATGGCGTTGCCAGGTCTTGGACTATCTGACCAAAGATCTTGATTTCCTATAAATTCACGAGGCACCTTTACACTACGCAGAAATGCGGCAAAATGATGTCTTCCGACAGGTCTTGCCGTTTTTCTGGAGCGCATAGTGTCATTTACAAGATCGACAATATTAGATTCGGCTACTTTTGTACCGTCGATAGAGATAACACCATATTTATCCCAAACAAGTCTGTCAGACGCATTAGACTGTAAATGATTTAATAAAAGTTTAGCTTTTTGCCGATATTTTAACGGTACACTAGCCAAAATGAATGAATCACCCATCCGATCTTTTTCTATTTCTTTCATCTCCTCCCCATCTGAGTAGATAGCAGATTTGATGGTTGTATTATGCTTTGCTTCTTCTACGAAGTATAAATAACGCTGTAGTATTTGAAGGTAAGCCTTGCATTTTTCTCTTTCATCCACAAATTTATTTGAATTGAGAATTTCACGCATTTCTTCATCTAACCTGCTCAATGTAGTACCAGGCGTTTGAATTGTTTTATTATTTAATACGTGAGTTAATTGCATAACTTTTTCTTCCGGTACCAAAACCATTTTTTTTGCGTGTTCCATTATATTTTATTTCGGAGCTATAAGGCGGGATAATACACTACCTAGTATAGGTGCTAGTAACAAAGGTAAGAATCCACCCCGTTGTACGATCAAGCGTTTTTTACTCTTCCAAGAATCGTTTTTATCGGCGAGTCGACGTAATATGGCGGCATAGCGTTTCAAACGTCGTTTATATGGTTGTTTAAGTGGTACATTGCCATGTAATATATTTAAAGCACACTCGCATATGCATTTAACAAGTTTCGGATCAGCCTTTTTCAAGATAGCGATACGTTGCTCGTTAGTGAGGTGACGTAACGCTTGTAGTATTGCAGCGTGTTTTTGGCCGAAGATATGAGCGTTTGGTGCCATTACAAACTTATTGAATTTGAAGTTTGAAAAATATATTCACAATCCTTTTATTGTTGTATATAATTTACATTTACAACAATCTTTAATTAACGGTGTTGGACCATCAATATGCGATTGTTGAGTCGGTAGGTTATAATGTTCTAAGCACCGCCGATAGCCACGCACTTCTGGGTCTCGTTTTATATACTCGGGGAGTTTATCCCATAGATAATCTATGTGATTGCTGAACTCTCGTAATAATATAATCTTTGGTATAAATTGTAATAGTTCAGCAGTTAAATCGTTGATAATATTATCACCCGTCAATATGAGAAACATTTTAGCTACTGACAAGATTTGGATTTCTGTTCTACTGTAAATACGTTAAACAGAACGCTGTCGCACATGTGTAAAATAATTTTAAAGATGCTAGATAAGATATTTCCCGTGTTGTACTTCTATTTACGAGGCACATAAACATATTGATATTTATTATCAGGAAATATGCACGTGCGAAATCGACAATTTTCCGGTGTGGATTGCTTTAAATCAAGTAATAAATAACCATGCGGTATAGATGTTGCGTCATTATATATTTCCCATAAGAATTTAAT